ATGGATGGATGGATGGATGGATGGATGGATGGATGTGTAGTGGGTGGATGGGTATTGGGTGGATGGGTATTGGGTGGATGGATGAATGGATGGATGGATGGATGGATGTTGGGTGCAACACACACACATACACACAAGCATGCTGCCCCACTTCACTACATAAATCCTTCATTAAATACAGATCATTGTTTACATAAATAAGTCAAAGTATTTTATTTTACAGTATTCAGATTTGACAGAACAAAAACAGTTTGTAAACTGTTACTTGCTGATACAGTATGTCACAAATGGCAGCAGCCCCCATTTCAAGTACTCATATTACGTACCTTTGGAATTGTGTAATTATTAAGGCTAGTGTCCTTATTTGCCTGGCGAGGCAGGTTGAGTGGAACAATGTTTCCCATTCTCTGTATTTCATGGATGACTGCATTAGTGTACGGCATGTTTTCTCTGTCAGTCATGGAGGCCTGTCTGGATGGTCCAATCACAGTATCAATCTCAGCCTGGACTCTCTCTGTACACAGTGAAAATAAAACAAGCACTCCACAAATGTCCAATGGCAGTTTTCCTCCCAGTTGTTCCTCCCAGTGAGAAACCACTAACATGCTAAATTTATAGATAAACTCAAATAAGGAATAATAGAATGGCAGTACTTCTACCCACCTTGTATATGTGGGTAGTAGATCATGTAAAGCAGCCCCCATTTTAAAGTAGTTGTGGTGGTTTCGGTTCCAGCACCAAACAGGTCCAGGGTGCAAACACACAAATTACTGAGATCAAAACCAGAATCTGCGTCCTTCTTCTATCAAAGACACAAGACAGATGTAACATTCTGTTAAAATTCTTATACTGTATATTCTATGTGTAGCAGATGAACGCAACACTCACCTCTCCCATTTCAATGAGGAAGGCATCAATGTAATCTCTTGGTGATGAAGGGTCCAGGTTTTCTTTGTGTTCTTTGATTCTAATTTCGACAAAGTCAATTATCTTTTTTATCAGTTTAAATATTTTTCTATGAGGTCCAGGAACCCATCTCATCAGCCAGGGCATTGCATTGAAAATCTGTAGAAAAAGTAGAAAATATTCAGATTATCTAGGAAGCTTAAAATACGTTATCTTGTGACAAATATTTAAATGAGCACAGATTATCACAGTGGGGAAAGCATTAGTTATTTTATGTCTGTATTTTGTGTGTTTTGTTTTATACAAGAAAGTACTCTGAATAATGCCATCTTAGCTTACACAGCAGACATGGGAGCCAAATGCACTTCTGAAATTTCTGTTTAGTTTTGGAAGAGATAGCATTTGTAGTTAATTTAGTGTAGTGATGTAGGGTTATTTAGCGTAGGAGCTCCACTACAATCAATATTTAATGACGGGTTCTCTCTTTTTCGAGCTACTTGACAGATATGTGAGAGAGATATTGTGTTTAGACGTACTGTGTGGAGATGGTCTAATCAGTGACGTGAGACGTTAAATTTCTTTGACCCATCAAAATGAATGTGGTCATTTATTAACAGAATCAAAATTTAACATCAAACATTGTACACTTGATTATTCTGATTGAACGCAATAACACAGCTTAATGAGAAATCATACGGCCATGATTTCTCACTTGCAACTGAAATACAACAGACATTTCTGAAAATATCTGGACTAATTACTGGCAAGATAAAAGAGTTTTAAAGATGGGAAATGAAGGAGTTTAAATGGAGAGGAAAAAGATGGATGAGGATGTATGTCTGTAGACCAGAACAACACACTCCTTTGAAGCGCAGTTCGCCTGCGGTACACTGGTAGTGAAGCTCATGACAACTCTTTACCTTTGGCGGAGGATGAATCCGCGGCGGTCAAGAGGTCCCTGGTACGCTACCTTTCAGCGTCTCCTCAGGGCGGCTGCGACTCGGCAGAAGTCGTGAGAACTAGTTCCACAGAACAAACCTCCTCAGAAGTTATAAAGTTTTCACCGGGTGGAGTCACAGCGAGGCATCGTGGCTCCTACAGGAACTCCAGCCGAACTTCATCAGTAACAGAAGAACTTAACGGGACTCTGAGAAGACTCAGAGGAACTCAGAACTTCTGTTCTCTCCCAGAACTTTGGTTCAAGTGTAGAACTCCGAACTGCTGGAACTAGGAAGTGTCGACTTTTAAAGAGTTCTGTTTCCGGTCCCATTTGGGAAGTCCTGATTGGTTGAAAGAACCAACAGGGGTGTGGTTTTAGTGACGTAAGAGGTTACTACAAGTCAGAAAAACAGTGAGATGTTTTAGGAACAGACAGAGAAATGTTTTGGCGAAATGACAGACCACAGGTGCCAGCTTCTCTGTTTCTGTCTGAGAGGTTTTAAAAACATGACAGTTCGTTCCAATAAACTTGTTTGCGACTGTCTCCGACTTTTGACTGACATCACTCCTTCTCATTTCAGACATAAGATCAAAAAATGCATAATTACTTTGTAACAGACATCTAACTTGATTTCTACTTTGAATGAGGACTAAAAATCATTAATACTGTTTCACAGTTGATTTAAAATGAGTAGTTCACTTCAACATTTAAAATGGTTTGAACTAAACACACTTTTGATTATCAAGACATTTGTGAAAATAGTAATGACAACATAAAAAGAGAGTGTTCTTTCAATTGATTAGTGCAGGCCACACTTAGAAAGTCTCTGGATGAGCTTAATTTGTATTTCTGGACTCAAATCAATGAAATAACAGTTTCTGTCCCATGAAAGTCCTCAGGGTCAGGTTTTGACCTGAGGCTTAGTTCACTACATTAGACATAGCCCAGGTCATGTTTCAGGTCAAGTAAGGAAAAGTGCATATTTAAAATGGTCGTTTGATTCAGTGGCAGTTCTGCAGGAAAATATAAAATATTTCAATTATTCTATATTACACAACTCAGTCTGAACAAATGGGTTCAACAACTACCACTGTATTTGTGAGAAATTCTCAATGTGCTTAGGAAAGATGTCTTATGATTTTTCAGTTTTGGCAGAAAAAAGGAAGAGAAAGCCTTTTTGCAGTATATTTAAATCAACATATCTTTTCTCCTCATTCTTTCATGAGCCATGCACAAAAAAATGTTTAATATTATTTTCTGTTTTCCATTTTTGAGGTTATCCATCCATCCATCCATCCATTATCTTCCACTTGTTCTGAAGTCGGGTCGCGGGGGCAGCAGCTTTAGCAGGGAGGCCCAGACATCTCTTTTCACAACCACCTGTTCTAGCTCTTCTGGGTGGACCCCAAAGCGTTCCCATGTCAACCGAGGGATATAGTCTCCCCTGCGTGTCCTGGATCTTACCCGGGGTCACGGACATGCTCGAAGCACCTCTCTAGGAAGGCGTCCAGGGGGCATCTGAACCTCAACTGGCTCCTCTTGATGTGGAGGAGCAGAGGTTCTCCTCCAAGTCTCTCCCGCATAACTGAACTTCTCACCCTATCTCTAAGGGAGAGTCCAGCTACCCTGCAGAGGAAACTCATTTTAACTGCCTGTATCTGTGATCTCATTCATTCAGTCACTACCCAGAGCTTGTGACCATAGGTAAGAGTAGGAACGTAAACTGACCGGTAAACAGAGATGTTTGCCTTACAGTTCAGCTCTCCCTTCACCACAACGGACCAGTACAGAGTCCGCAATACTGCAGATGCTGCACCAATCCGTCTGCCAATTTCACGCTCCATTCTTCCCTCACTCGTGACCAAAACCCTGAGATACTTGAACTCCTCCACTGGAGGCAGAACCTTACCTTCAACCTGAAGAGAGCAATCCACCCTTTTCTGGTTCAGGACTATGGCCTCAGATTTGGAGGTGCTGATTCTCATCCCAGTTGCTTCACACTCGGCTGCGAACCACTCCAGTGAGAGCTGAAGATCACAGCACAATGACACCAACAGGACCACATCATCCGCAAAGAGCAGAGATGGAATCCTGAGGCCACCAAACCGGAAACCCTCCGCCCCCTGGCTACACCGAGAAATTCTAAGGGAAAAGTTATGAACAGAATCGGTGACAATGGGCAGCCCTGGGAGAGTCCAACTCCCACCCTGAAGTGGTCCGACTTATTACCAGCAATGCAAACCAAACTCTCACACCACTTGTATAGGGACTGAACAGCCAGTAACAACAGGCCCCCAATCTCATGGAGTAACACCCCCCCCCCCCACACACACACACACACACACACACACACACAGTGTACCCTGAGAAACACGACTGAATACCTTCTCCAAGTCCACAAAACACATATAGACTGAATGGGCAAACTCCCATGACCCCTCGAGGATCCTAGTCAGGGTAAAGGGCTGGTCCAGTGTTCCACGGCCAGGACAGAACCCGCATTGTTCTTCCTGAATCTGAGGTTCGACCAACGATCAGACTTGCTTCTCCAGTACCCCTGAATAGACCTTACCAGGGAAGCTAAGGAGAGTAATGTCTCTGTAATTGAAGCACACCCTCCGGTCCCCCTTTTTGAAGAGGGGAACCACCACCCAAGTCTACCAGTCCAGCGTAACTGCCCCAAATGTCCACACAATGTTGCAAAGGCATGTCAACCAAGACAGCCCCACAACATCCAGAGCCTTTAGGAAATCAGGGTGGATCTCATCCACCCCCAGAGCCCTGCCGCCGTAGAGCATTTTAACTACCTTGGCGACCTCAACCACAGTTATGGACAGACCAACCCCTCTAAAGTCCCTTGACTCTGCTTCCTCCATGCAAGATGTGCCAGTGGGATTGAGAAGGTCCAAGAAGTATTTCTTTCACCTCCCGATGACATCACTGGTTGAGGTCAGCAGCACTCCATCTTCACTGAATACAGTGTTAGTAAAGAGCTGCTTTCCCCTCCTCAGCTGCATGATGGTTTGCCAGAATCTCCTCGGAGCCAACCGAGAGTTGTTATCCAGGGTCTCACTGAACTCCTCCCACATCCAAGCTTTTGCTTCAGCAACAGCCGAGGCTGCAGACCGCTTGGCCTTCCAGTACTCCACAGTTGCCTCTGGAGTCCCAACAGCTAACAAGGACCGATAGGACTCCTTCTTCAACTTGACAGCCTCCCTAACCTGGGGTATCCACCACTGAGTTCAAGGATGGCCACCACGAGATGCACCGACAACCTTGTGGCCACAGCTCAAGGCAGCCACTCAACAATTGAGTCACGGAACATGGCCCAATCTTACTCAATGTTCCCCACCTCAGCTAGGATGCGGTTAAAGCTCTCCCTGAAGTATGAGTTGAAAATCTTTCTGATGGGTTAATAACAAAGTCCATGCTCAATAATCCAGGTATACAATCCAACATTTTTCAGTCTGATGGGGTCTTCTGCCAGGTGTCTCTGGCAAACCCTCACTACACATTTGGGTCTACTGGGTCTGTCTGGCATCTTCCCCTACCATCTGATCCAACTCACTACCAAGTGGTGATCAGTTGACAGCTCAAATCCTCTCTTCACCCAATTGTCCAAAACAAATGGCCACAAATCAGATGAAATTATTACCAAGTCAATCATTGATCGACGACCTAGGGTGTCCTGGTGCCAAGTGCACTTATGGACACCATTATGTTTGAACATGGTGTTTGTGATGGACAAACTATGACTAGCACTGAAGTCCAACAACAGAACACTGCTCGGGTTCAGATCAGAGAGGCCGTTCCTCCTAATCACCCCCCTCCAAGTCACACTATCATTACCCACGTGGGCATTGAAGTCTCCCAACAGATTAAAGGAGTCCCCAGGTGGTGCACCTTCCAGCACCCCTGCCAAGGACTCCAAGAAGGCCAGATGCTCTGAACTGCCGTTGGGAGCATAGGCACAAACAACTGTCAGAGCCCGTCCCCCCACCCGAAGGCGCAGGAAAGCCACCCTCTCATCTACTGGGGAAAACTCCAACACACAGGCACCAAGTCAGGGGGCTAAGAGTATACCCATACCAGCTAGGCGCCTCTCACCATGGGCAACTCCAGAGTGGAATAAGGTCCAGCCCCTTTCAGAGAGATTGGTTCTAGAGCCCATGCTGTGCGTCGAGGTGAGCTCAACTATATCTAGTCTGTACCTCTCAACCGCACGGCTCACGCACAAGCTCAAGCTCCTTCCTCACCAAAAAGGTCACGTTCCATGTCCCAAGAGCTAGCTTTGATAAGCCACGGTCAAAGCGCCAAGGTCCAAGCCTTCGGCCACTGCCCATGGATTCAACACCTGACTCATATGGACCCTCCTGCAGGTGGTGGGCCCACAGAAAGGCATACCCATGTTGCTCATTCGGGCTGAGCCCAATTGGGCCCCATGGGTAAAGACCCAGTCACCAGGCGCTCGCCAATGAGCCCCTCCCCCAGGACTGGTTCCAGGGTGGGGTCCTGGTAACCCACGTCCAGGCAAGGGATACAGAGTGTTTCATGTCCATACGAGTCTTTGGAATCGCTCTTTGTCTGGCCTGTCACCTAGAACCAATCTGCCTTGGGAAAACCTACCACGGGCAATTAAAATTGCCCCAGACAGCAAAGCTCCTGGGATCATTTAGGTGCACAAATTCCTCCACCACAAAACGGTGGCAATTCAAGGAGGAGATTTCTGAGGTTAATGACACATTAATGCTTTAATTAAACCATTGATGCACATGTTGTAAATGTATGACCTCTCTGTTGGAACAATGGAACAATAGACTTTTTATCAAGTTCTTTAAGTTTGTTGCAAGCAGTCAGTTTATATATATATATATATATATATATATATATATATATATATATATAT